GGTTCAGTGTCATCTCCTAAATATGGAGTTGAATAACAATATTCAATATGATTTGATTTAGGAGGATTACCAGTTGAATGAGTTTTTACTCTCTTATTGTTGGTGAGATTATCAGTCCATTTTCACTCCATTCTTAATATATTCCAATAATTCTTGTATTGAAATTGTCTTCTAATGATTTTAGCAAATATTTCTTTTGCTTCATCAACTTGAAAAAACATATGAAATCATTTAGTCAATAGNTCCAATAATTCTTGTATTGAAATTGTCTTCTAATGATTTTAGCAAATATTTCTTTTGCTTCATCAACTTGAAAAAACATATGAAATCATTTAGTCAATAGTTCAAATATCAAATCATAGTAGTGTCTATCTAAAAAAGCTCAATCATTACATTATTTTGCTCGGTGTGTCTATTTTGTCGCAATCTTTTAATTTGACTATAAGAATCGACAAATTTGCCACATTTTGCATTTATATCAATCCAACGGCTTTTAATAAAAGTTTGCGAACGTTCTTCTTGATTGCCTCCATGAAGTTCTAAATATTTCAATATTTTATGCCAGAGAGTACCACTTTGTTGTTCATTCCTCGTAATTGTATCTTTATTTGTGTTAAGCTATGCATACACAATTAATTTATCTTCTTTTAGAGAAAAGTTTTTTATTCTTTGCAATTTTCTCACTTTTGGAGGGGCTTCATTTTGTACTAGCACCAATACTGTGAGATTGGTCTGCATAACATCATTATATAAATAGGTGCTGTTCATAAGTAAATCAGTAAAAGAATCGTTAATTTATAAATCCATCTAAAAAAAAAAATTATAATCAATTTAAAGAATAAACATAAAATAATCAATTAAAAAATAAATAAAATCACCATTAATTAAAAAAAATTATAAATTAACACAAATAAATAAATAAACTAAAATTAAAATATTCAATTTAAATTACAAAAATTAATTTAATTAAAAAATCAATTTAAAGAAAAGCCAACCTCCTTCTCTTTTCCCTATCTCTATGCCTCCTTCTCTAGATATGCCATCACCAACCACAAGGTTTGAAGAAAAATCAAGAGCAGGGATCATAAACTTAGAACGATTTTCACGCAAGCTTTTTCAGCCTTTGATAAGTTTTCTCTTTCAAAATCTCTGTATTTTTATAAAATATTTTGGTTGAATAGAGCCGTTGAGTGGGAATAGTAGACTAGAATGACTCTTTGTAACCTCTCCTTTTTTCTCTCTAGAGTTTAAAAAATTGTCACCTCAAGAGTATTGTTGTCATTTTTTAACCCTTATGCCACCCCGAGAATGAAAAATTTTAAATTTAGAATGACATTTTGAAAATTACATGCAGTTATAAGGTGGGCCACCTTTGATACAACTTCCCTTTTTAGGTTCTATTCAAAATTCTAACTGTTTGTTTTCATTGTCATCGACAAAAGCTCCAATTCGACCCAACATTTACATAAAGATAGCATTACGACACTGAAGTAGTAGTTTAACAATATTTACTGTAAATTATTTAATTTGTTTGTCACTATTAATTTTAAAAACATTTTATTTTATTATTAAAATTTTACCCTGACATTGTACCCACAAAAAATACTGTAACTGAGATTCTAATATTTGAAACTGGATTCCAACACAAATCTCTTTCATTTTTTTTTGAAAGAAAACGGTGAGGGAGTATCGGAAAATGGCGACCATCGTCGCCAGCAGAGCAGCTTCAATGGAGAAAACGACCAGCTTCTTTCGACTCTCTTTCAATTTCTTCAGAAACTTTAGCTCTTCCACCACGACCATTAATACTACGACTTCGGCGGCGAGTGTTGGAACCAAGAATTCAAAGAGGAAGAATCTATTTGAGGTGGTTCAGTTTCTACCCAACTGGGGTATCGGGTACCAAATGGCCAAGACTCATTGGATCGGCGTTTCTTATCAGATCACTAGGATTAATCTCTACAGGGTCTCCCCCTAAATCCTCCTCTCTCGAAATATGCTTAAATTTATTTGGTTTTGTTTTATTCGGTTGGTCTTACTTTTGTTTTTAGGGTTTATGGATTTTGGGATGTTAGGGTGTATGAGCTTTTTGGGGTTTTTGCAGGACGGTAGACACGGGAAAGCTTGGGGAATTGTTCATAAGGACGGTGAGTTCTCACATTCTGATTTTTGATTTTTGTGTTTCTGCTTTGATGTTTAATTATAGGTTGGGTTGCTGATAAAATGTAAGTACGTAAAAGGAAAATGGAAGTCCTCATTATTGTGGTCATTTGTTGTTTTAATTGTTTATTGAGAAAAAGAAAAAAAAAGGGATGGATTGAGTCATTGACAAACGTGAGCCAAATGGTTATGTAATTGTTGTTCAAAGAGAAGGTTTTTGGTTTTCTTGTGGCTCAAACAGAGCTGTTCAAGCGTTAAAAATTGATTTTGATTCTTCTTTTTATGAACAGTTTTTCTTTCACTTTTTTGTGAACATGGTATTTCTTGCACAGTTTTTCTTTCACAATTCAGAAAACATGTGTGATGTTGGGGCTATATATGGTTAATGATGGTAGATATACAATGTTTGTCTATTTTATTGGCAAAAATCAGTTTCTAAATATTTCTTTGGACTTCCACAAGTCATAATTCTTTTTATTGTTTCGGCAATTATGTTTTGGTAGTCCCATTTATGAAAGTTCTGGTGACCAACAACGCCTATGATGGATGAAATACCTTGTGTTCTTCCGGAAAAAGTAGTCTTAATGGGTTCTATGAATTTGGAAAACTTTGCCTGCACATCTTAACTCTTGAAAAGAAATACTGCAAGGAACAGAATGCATAAAAGGCTTCATTTCACATGCATTTTTAGCATATTTTTACAGTTTTACTTATTCTTTCTTTCTTTCTTTTCCTTTTTTTTTATCAAAAAATCCTAATAATCATACAAGAAGCCTTTTTATCACTGCCTTCTTGTGGTAAGAGAACCATTGTATATGCAGGCTATGCTCATGGGCATATGGAGCACATTGCATGAACTGACGAAAGAATTATATGGATGTCGGTTGTGGATGAGTATTGCCTTCCCTTTCTCAATCCCTAATTGGATATTGTTAGGGTAAAATAGAGTGAATTATAAATTTGTTGGTCCTTGTCAAAATGAAATGAGTACTATTTTTATTTACCTTCACGAAGATGATAAGTATGTTATGTTGATTTGACTTTCAAGTCAGCAATGTTCAAAAGAGATGGCTGGTGTAATCTCAATAATTATAAGTTTATAACTTGGTGCCAACATTCAGCGCACAAATTTAACAAGATATAGTACCATTGTCCATAGAAGGATGTGGGATTCTTTTAGAAGAACAAAAGTCCATGAACATGAGTAAAGACCACCCAAATGGTCTTGGACATCTGTAATGAGGTAGCAATTGAAGAGATACCTGTGAACTTACATAAGAATACAAAATGAATGGAAAAGCTGAGGAATTTTGGGGATTAGTGATTCGCAAATTCATGTCACTGATGAAACATTTCAAGATGTGGCTTCAACCTTATATACATATAATTTGCCCCCCCCCCCATCTTGGGCTGGATGTATCCATGCAATGAACATAGCTGAAATGGCGATGATTAGACAATTAGGTAGGCGAAAAGGTCAGATGTAGGATGAATTCTGTTCGGCTAAAGATGCACAGGTGGCATATGTTCTACCAGGGCGTCCAAAGGAAATAAATGGCGAGAGGCAATCATCATTTTATGCCTAGTGAGATGGTATGCCATGGACATGATTAACCCAAGTATGTAAAATAACAGTTGTCTCTTGCTCAAACTTGAGTCAGGATGGCCCCAGGGGAGCAAGGGTAATATTCCATGCGTTGATTAAGGTTGCTTCTTCACAATAAAATTCCATTGTTTTATCAGGTTTTCTTATTTACAATGCTGAAATCAATGCTGTGTTGATCAAAGTTTCTGCCTGTAAATAGTTTTGTTTTGCCCTAATGCTATTAGTGAATTATGCAGGTTTGCCCACTGCAGATGCACCCAAGAAAATAAGTGGGGTTCATAAGCGCTGTTGGAGATACATTGCAAACTCAAAGACACCAGAAGAGAGCTTCCCAAAACCAGAACTTCAAGCTGCTTGATGCAATTTTTTTTCCCAAAATCATCAATTACTGGCTACCTGGCTGCTTTTACTCTCATGTTCTTCTTTCAGAAAGTTCATGCCATCAGATTGCATAGTCAATGCCGATGTATTCTTAGACCAGTTCAATTTCTGGGTGTCTGATGCTTTAGTGTAATACAACTCAATTGAGACTGCGGTTAGATTAATGAGATTTGCAGCAATCAATTGAGATTGCTGTTAGGTTAATGAGATTTGCCCTAGCTGAGAATGAACGTTAGATCTTTAACATTTCTCTTGCATGTTTTGTTGATGGGTAAGGATAATTTTTGTATATCCTTAGTCCGGATGATCGAGGGCTGGCACTAATAATTTGGTGCTCCCTCTCAGTAACACAAGCAGAAGATCATCCCCTTTTCACACAGTCGATGGTTGAACATCAGCTTCCGAATGTGCCATAACCAAAAATACATGAAGCCTCAAGTATTTATATCTCAAAGTTTATGTTCTCTGCCCAGAAGGAAACAGAAGACTTTGGATTTTTGTAATTGCAAAATGCCTGATTACTTGGACCCAAAAGGAAACAGAACTGTATAAATTTTGACCGTTATTTGAGGAAAGGTTCATTGATTATGGTTTTAATTGTCAGCCTCAAGCTAAGTGGGGGATTTACACTTCTTATTCTGTTCTGGACTCTGAAGGCATTTCACACTATTGGTGGCATTCTTCATGGTCATTTTCAATGCTTGTTAAGGAGGTTATGTCAAAATGAGTAAATTGCATTTGAACACATTTTTGTTGTTACTCTGAAGAAAAAAGTCACTATTTCCATGAAGACCACCTTCCTAAAATCGGAGTAATACGACCTATCATTTACAAATTTGAGATTTAAAACTTCATTGTACAATTCAATTTTAAACCATGTCAAACTAGTACAAAGCAAACAATATTGTATAATTTGAGTTTAATTAGATATTACACACACTAATAAAAATCTAGATTAGCCCGTTTAGTTGTAAGGCTTCCAAACATGTCCTTATCAAACACCAACGCCAAATCAACCAAGTATTGAGGCTGAATGCGAGTGGTTGCTTCTAGGTTCTGGTTTTGATATCCTGTCCCTGTTTGCCAAATTCTTAAATTGTCCCATTGTTTATAACAATATTATATTAATGTCAATTTTTTTTCAATTGAATTTCATGAATCTCTCCTCTATATATTAAGAAGAATACAAGTGTAGAAACCAAAGGATAAAGAATAATTCTATGTTGGTTCCGTTATGAACAAAATAGCTTTCGAATTATGTCATTTTGTCTTAGAATTTCACAAATCTCTCCTCTATATAAGCACCACAGTCTCTTAGCAAATTTTGTCAAAGAAACCAATTCTCTCTTGCATTCATCGAAATACCAAGAAACAAACCCCAACTCTTTCTAAAGGCACGCACAAAGCTTCTACACCAAAAATGGCATTGCTTGTCTTCCTAGTTTTCTCCCTGTTCCTCCAAGGAGCTTTTGGTACCCTCACTACCAGNAAGCTTCTACACCAAAAATGGCATTGCTTGTCTTCCTAGTTTTCTCCCTGTTCCTCCAAGGAGCTTTTGGTACCCTCACTACCAGTCTTCATTTTTCACCCAAGAGTCGCCAACAGCCAGGGCGTATCGGGATGACCACCTTCACGGGCCTTAATCAGATCAGCCCGACGGGCTTAACGAGCCAAAAACCACAGTCCATGTTCATGGCTGTTAGGCTCTTGGGTTGCCCATGAGACACCCATGGTGGATTGAGCGTGAGCTCGACCTACCGAGCTAATGAGCCAGTTTTTGTGGCACAAAACCGGGCTTTATTTTTACAGCTCCTTTTTTTTTCAGNGCCAGTCTCCATTTTTCACCCAAGAGTCGCCAACAGCCCGGGCCTATCGGAATGACCAACTTCACGGGCCTTAATCGGGTCAGCCCGAGGGCTTAACGAGCCGAAAACCACAGTCCATGTTCATGGCTGTTAGGCTCTTGGGTTGCCCACGAGACACCCATTGTGGATCGAGCCTGAGCTCGACCCACCGAGCTAATGGGCCAGTTTTTGTGGCACAAAACCGGGCTTTATTTTTACAGCTCCTTTTTTTTTCAGTATTACTAACGTTTTTTTTTTGTCTTCTTCTTCCTCTTCCGTCTCTGATGTATACTTTAGGTGAAATTATATGTGAGGAGTTGCCTGTTGGAATGTGCTCCTTATCAGTTGCATCTTCGGGAAAACGATGTTTGTTGGAAACTTCTGCAACAGCTGGTGGCACCATGGAATACCAATGCAAGACATCCGAGGTGATGGCAAACAACATGGCTGAATTGATCGAGAGTGATGGCTGCATAAGTGCTTGTGGGCTTGATAGGAACTCAGTCGGGATGTCGTCCGATTCCCTCCTTGACCCTCAATTCACCTCAAAGCTTTGCTCACCGGCTTGTTATCGGAACTGCCTCAACATTGTTGACCTCTACTACAATTTGGCTTCGGGAGAAGGTGATAGTTTTTGNTGTCGTCCGATTCCCTCCTTGACCCTCAATTCACCTCAAAGCTTTGCTCACCGGCTTGTTATCAGAACTGCCTCAACATTGTTGACCTCTACTACAATTTGGCTTCGGGAGAAGGTGATAGTTTTTGGCCTTGAACAAAAAAACATGCCCAAAAACATTTTTTGAGTAAAAAGTAAGGCAAAAAATTGTACAAAATCCGGTAACAAGCAGATAGAAAATTAATCAATTAACTCTTCTATCAGCACATTGTCGACAATCTATAACTAAACATTTATANTCAGTAAAAAGTAAGCCAAAAAATTGTACAGAATCCGGTAACAAGCAGATAGAAAATTAATCAATTAACTCTTCTATCAGCACATTGTCGACAATCTATAACTAAACATTTATATGAATTTTTTTTTTTTTTTGTATTTATAAGCAAGATTGATAGCTGAAAGGGTGTGCAATGGTGACAGGAGTGTTTTTGCCAGACTTGTGCGAGGCACAGCGAACCAATCCACNTTTTTTTTTTTTTTTGTATTTATAAGCAAGATTGATAGCTGAAAGGGTGTGTAATGGTGACAGGAGTGTTTTTGCCAGACTTGTGCGAGGCACAGCGAACCAATCCACGACATGCAATGAGCCAACTTCAGAGTTCTGGTGCAGCNACGACGTGCAATGAGCCAACTTCAGAGTTCTGGTGCAGCGTCTGGTCCGGCCTCTGCTGCTGCTAATGGTCCTGCCTCTTCTTTTGCTGAAGGTCCCATGTCTAGTGAATTGTTTGGATCCGTCGCTTGTGCTCCAGCTTCAATGTAATCGACGATGTATTTCCAGATGAAGTAGTTCAAATTCATCTCATGCGGATACAGTTGTTAACTGATGTACGAAAATATGTATCATTTTATGTTAGGAACTATTGGGAAAAAAACTGTTTTTATGAACATATTGAACATTTGCTCTATCATTTCTTGTGTTTTTCGATGAACAACCATTAGAACATTAAGAAATGAACTTGAATGGTAGCCAAAGATTATTGCAAATGGCGATCTTTCTAATTTATACCTTAAACCTCATGATTTTACCATGTAGATGGGACAAGTTGCACATATTCAGTACCGCAAATGAGCAAAAGTCCATTCATCTACTAAATGAGAGACCTGGCTTTTTGATTTTTTTTTTAAACCAAGGATCTTATGCCCAAACTACGATTTTTTGTATGCTTTAAGCTCATATTTAAATATCATACTCCACCGCAACCTGTGGCCGATACAACTGTATGTGATATTGGTTATTTTGGGTTATTCTACCCGATTTTAAAATACATTACAACAGCTTAAACAAAAAATTTACAAATATAGCGCGACGACTTTCTCTAACTAGGTGATCTGGGACAGGTTATGGACCCAATGCCTCACCAGCATCCTCAACTTGTTAAAATTTGCAGAGAATGCAGCCAGTTCAGCTGTATCCACTGATCACCATCCAACTCAGCCTCTTCTCCAGCTCAGCATGATCACGTAGAGCACACTAGAAGGATCTAGTAGAGCTCACTAGAAGAATCCAGAGGCATATGGAAACTGGCAGTTAGTTAGGAAAATTTCTCTTATGTGTAAAGCATTTAGATGAATAAGTTTTGATGTGCACTTGTAGCTAGTACAAATACAGACGTATGTACAGCAAAAAGGAATGAATGAGAATAATTCTCTTCTTCATCTCTTCTCTCCTTAACTTTCTGCATCTTGAGATTTTCAATATGGTATCAGAGCAGTAATGGCCAACACACCACATCCAAATCCCAACGATTCCTCTTACAGCAGTGATAATTCTGCAACCAATCCCAATCCAAAAGACCCTGCTAACTCATACCTCCTCAATCCAAATGATGGACCAGGTACCCTCCTTACCAGTCACCTTCTCATAGCAGAGAACTATCACTCTTGGGCCTGAACTGTTCGAAGAGCCTTTCGAATCAAAAGAAAATTGGGTTTCATCGATGGCACTCTCTGCAAACCAACAGACCCCAATGACCCTTTGATGGATCCTTGGCTTGAATGTAATGACATGGTTGTTACTTGGCTTCAAAATGCAATGTCCTTGGAAATAAAAAACAGTGTAGTATATGTTGAGACTGCACATGAGTTATGACTGGAACTAGAACAGAGGTTTGCTCAAAACAATGGACCAAGGATTTATGAGCTAAAGCGAGCAATCCATTCTCTCAGCCAAGGAAAAGATTTTGTAAGTTTATACTTCTCAAAACTCAAAGGATTATTGGATAAACTCTTGAATTTTGAATCCCTACCACAGTGTACATGTGGAGCAATGAAAACTGTTTTTGAAAACCAACAGATGGATTAGATTATGAAATTCCTCATAGGCCTGAGTGATTCTTTTGCAAACATTAAAGTACAAATCATTTTAATCAAACCATTGCCTGCATTAAGGGAAGTTTATGCTCTAGTCTGGCAGGAGGAAAAACGAAAACAACTCACTTTCTGGGGTCAATATGACTGACTCTCTTGCATTAGTAGCAAGAACTAATTTCATCACCAAGGAAAACAACAGGTATTCTGGTTCTCAAAAGAAAGAAAGACCTTATTGCACTCACTGCAAGATCCATGATCATTCAATAGAAAAATGTTTTAAAGCAAATCCAGAGTTAGAAATGCCATTCTGCACCTAATGCAATATCATTGGGCATTCTGTTGAGAAATGCTTCAAGCTTCATGGATATCCACCAGGTCACAAGATGCACAACAAGAACAAGAGTTTTACTACATCAGCTAATCAAACCAGCATAGTAAATCAAGAGCATCAGACATAAGGATCACAATCTGCAACCACTCAGGAACAATATCAGCATCTCATGGCCTTGCTTCAAATCAGAGCTGTGCATCGCTCTGTTAATCAAGTTCAGAGTAATCAAATTGATACTCAATCCACTGCTATGACTGGTATTATTTTCTATTTTTCAAATTCTGAAACCACCCTTTTAGATACCACCAAAATTCTTTGGGTAATAGATACAAGTGTAACAGATCATATGATCTGCAGCCCCTCCATTTATTCTTCTGCACCTATCAAACTTTCTTGCAAAGTTAAATTTCCTAATGGTGATTTATTAGAGGTAACACACATAGGGATTGTCAAAATCAATGATGTCATTACCCTAAAAAATGTGTGTGCATTCCATCTTTTAGGTTCAACTTTCTGTTAGCTAGAAAGTTGTCACAGGACCTCAATTGCTGCTTCTTATTTTTGCTAATGACCTCAATACCGGACCTTTCCACTTGGAGCACGATTGGGAAGGGTGAGGTTCACAATAGCTTGTACCAGCTCAAGATGACACCAACCTCCTCTACACTTTTTAATACACCTTTATCTTGTCTCTCTTGTAAACAGATTCCTATTTCAGCTTCAGTTTGTTCTCAGTCTGAGTATAATTTGTGGCATTGTAGACTGCGCCATCTCTCAAATTCAAGACTTGCTTTGTTGAAACATGATTGGTCAAATGTTCAATTCATCAATGACAAAATTCCCTGTTCAGTTTGTCCATTTGCCAAATTTTATAGGCTTCCATTTTTTGATAGAGAACATAAGTCACATAAACCTTTTGACTTGGTTCATTGTGATATATGGGGACCTAGCACACATATAGCCTATGATAGTTCAAGATATTTCCTCACCATTGTTGATGACTTTATAAGGTGCACATTGCTTTACTTAATGAAGGCAAAATCCCAAGCTAGACCATTTCTACAATCTTTTTGTTCCCTTATAGAAACCCAATTTCAATCCAAAGTCAAGACAATCAGGACTGATAAAGGAAATGAGTTTAGGATGGGAGAGTTCTTTATGAAAAAGGGAATTATTCATCAAACAAGTTGTGTAGAAATTCCTCAACAAAATGGTGTTGTTGAAAGGAAGCACCAACATATTCTCAATGTAGCGAGATCCCTCATGTTTCATTCAACAATTCTTGTTGATTTTTGGAATGATTGTGTGTTGACTGTAGCCTATCTGATAAACAGAACTCCTTCACCCAACCTGTAGAATCAATGCCCATATCAACTCCTCTTCAAAACCAAACCACCATATAAACATCTAAGGGTTTTTGGTTCCCTATGTTATGCTTCTACACTGAGACAAAGTAGACATAAGCTTGATCCTAGAGCTAGAAAATGTGTATTTCTATGATATCCTTTTGGAGTCAAAGGTTACAAGTTAATGGATCTAGAAACTCATTCAATTTTTCATTCAAGGGATGTTGTATTCCATGAAAATATTTTTCCTTATAAGACAGATCAGTCATCTTCACAAAGTTACTCTTCATTACCTCACTTCTTTGATGTTTCTTTATCACCCTCATTTGATCAAAATTTCTCAACAGAGGTTGTATCTATGCCTGTTCCAGCCCCCTCTAGTATCCTCGGAGTTCCCAGCAATCATCCACCAATTCACAACCTGAGTAAGAAGAATCTTCTTCTTCATCAGACAACAACAATTCCCCTTGTATTTCTATTCCTACAGAAAGACAGAGCAATCCTCCTTTTCATAGGACAGCTAGAACAAGAAGAAGACCAGAGTATTTGACAGATTATTACTAACATCAAGTTATTGTGCCTCACTCTTCTCAAACAAACTCCAACGACTCAAGTCATCTCTATTCCCTGTCATCATTCTTGTCATATGATAAACTTTCACATGAGTATGTTAGTTTTGCTACAACAATCCTAAATCATCATGAGCCTAATTCATATCAAGAAGCTGTAAAATTTTTGGAATGGCGTAAAGCCATGGATAATGAAATTGCAACTTTGGAGTATAACAATACTTGGGAACTCACAGATTTGCCAAAAGGGAAACATCCTATTGGTTCAAAATGGATGTACCAAGTAAAGTATAATTCAGATGGGACTGTGGAGAGGTATAAGGCTTGATTAGTGGCAAAAGGGTATACTCAACAAGAGGGACTTGACTATTATAAGACATTCTCCCCAGTAGTTAAGCTTGGAACAAATTGAATTCTACTAGCATTGGCTGCAGTCATGGGCTGATTTTTGCATCAATTCGATGTGAACAATGCATTTCTGCATGGGGAACTAGAAGAAGAAGTGTATATGTAGCCACCCCTTGGGTATTCTGTTAAAGGAGAGACCAAAGTTTGCAAGTTAAAGAAGAGTTTGTATGGGCTTAAGCAAGCATCCAGGCAATGGTATGTTAAGTTTTCATCATCTTTACTCAGTTATAGATTTACTCAGTCTCATTTAGATTACAACTTATTTGTCAAGAAAACAGACACTTCTTTCATGGCATTATTAGTCTATGCGGATGATATTATAGTTGTTTCCAATGACAAACATGTCATCTCACAGTTAAAGGAATTTCCGAGTGCTCAATTCAAGATTAAAGATTTGGGATCTCTCAAATACTTTCTTGGCTTAGAGGTAGCCATAAATTCTCATGGAATACAACTTTGTCAAAAGAAATATGCACTGGACTTCCTTGCAGATTCTAGTTTAATTGGGTGCAATCCTGCTAAGGTACCCATGGATCAGAACAACAAACTTTCCCTAGCTGATGGAGAACTTCTGAAAGACCCATCTTTGTATAGAAGAGCCATTGGAAGACTACTCTACTTAACCATCACAAGGCCTGACATTTCTTATTTAGTGAATTTGTTGAGCTAGTTCAAGGCAGCCCCTTGTGTTCCTTATCTTAATGCTGTGAACAAAATACTTAAATACATCAAGAGGGCTCCAGCTCAGGGCCTTTTCTTTCCTTCCACTACATCCCTGCAGGTAACAGCTTACTGTGATCCTGATTGGGCTTCATGTCCAGATACCAGAAGCAGAGTATAGATCAATAGTTGCAACTTGCTGTGAACCCACTTAGATTAAACATCTGCTCAATGATCTTTCTATACCTCATGATACATCAGTCATTCTTTATTGTGACAATCAATCAACACTTCACATTGCAGCAAATCTTGTTTTTCATAACAGAACAAAGCACACTGAATAAGATTGTCATATAATTCGAGAGAAGATACAAGAAAAATTTATTCCTAGTGCCTATATGTCTTCATATTCTCAGATTGCAGGCATCATGACCAAGGCCTTGGCGTATTCAACTTTTCACTCTTTGCTTCTCGAGATGGGAGTATGTAATATATACTCTCCATCTTGTGGGGGGATGTTAAAATTTGCAAAAAATGCAGCTAGTTCAGCTGCACCTCCCAGCTCAGTTTCAACCAACTCAGCCAGCTCAGTTGATGCTTCTACAAATCACCTTCTCCAGCTCAGCATGATCACGTAGAGTACACTAGATGGATGTTGCAGAGCTCACTAGAAGAATCTTGAGGAATATAGAAACTAGTAGTTAGTAAGGAAAATTTCTCTTATGTGTAAAACATTCAGATGAATAAGTTTGGTGTGCAATTTCCTGCTCACTTGTAATTAGTATAAATATGGATATATGTACAGCATAAAAAGTAAGGAATGAGAATGAATCTCTTCTTCATCTCTTCTCTCTTTAAAGTTTATGCACTTTGTTCTTATGAATTTCAATACCTGTTGGCAAGATACTATTACAAAATGGAAAATGTTAAAGAATTCATATCATTTGATTTTTTCTCTCTTTTTATATATATTTTTTATTGCTAAGTCAATTTTTTGATCAGTTTGATATTAAGCTAGAAAAAGAAACAATTGTGTGGAGGAACATGACTAATGTATATTGGGTTTAATTGCATATCCTTTAGATTTATGATCAAACCATAATCACCTTAAAAATTGATTACCCCTTTATCTTGTTTATTGGTGATATCTATTTGTCTAATGTTAAGCTAATAAGTTGTGACGGCCCAGATTTTGTTGGGTTGGGTCCAATTAATTAAGTTCAGATTAGCTACAAGGCAGATCAAGTTGAGTTTGTAAATTTGGTCTAGTCCAAGGTCCAAAAAGTTTAAGAAGATTAGCGCAAATGAGGAACGATTATTGGGGTAGGCACTCTCCGAGATCAAGACTTTCTCTAATTGTACCTATCTTAATTGTAGTTATCCTCCCCCAAAAGTTAGAAATCTATCGTCTACAACAACTGTCTCAACTAAGGATATGTGCCTATAAATTATAAGTTTTCTCCATATGAGAGGGATATCTATCTAAACACTTTACACAATTATCTCTCTCATAGCTATAAAGAACATACATTTACTCTCTCTCTCTCTCTCTCTCTCTCTCTCTCATCTATTACTTCGTCAATAAAGACCACCGGCTATTGTTGTAGTCTTCAAAGTGAAGTAGGTCATCTTCACTGAACCACTATATATCTGTGTGTTACTTGTATTAATCTATTCTATATATTTATTGCATTTATTACCTATATTAACTACTCGACATGTGGTACATAAATCCACTTTTGTGCATCACCAAATTAAATTCTCAATTTATAAAAATACAATATTGATCAAAATTGGTCTAAATTTTATCTATTTTAATTCAATGGTACAAAATTTACCTTAATTTTTTTTTTTTTTGCTTAAAACACGACTTCAGACAACTCAACAAACACATTCTCGAATGCTAAATAACCCATTAATCAACAGTTATCTCTATCTTCTCTCTCCCTTAGTCCCTTGCCTCTCACACTTACATTTGTTCTCTTCATCTCACCCTTTACTTTTCTCTTATTTTATCTCTTTAGATTAAAAAAAAAGATATTAATTTAAATTACATAGTAAAATTATTATTTAAAATATAAATATTTTGTAATCAATATTTAATTTTTAATATTATAAAATATAAATGTGTAGTTATTGTTAATATTTTGATATTTTTTTTTAGTCAAATCATCTAGTAGTCAGAAGTTATAATAGACTCTAATTAATTCAGATTCGAGTCAAATAGAATCACAAGAACGACAAATGTCTCGCTAGCAAATGTAGCTGTATTCTCGAGACTCAAACAAAAAATTTACGTTAAGTTAAAAGTGTCCCTCAACAGCTGGGTGCTAATATTTTGATATGCCACCGCATGCTATTTGCGACGAGGAAAAGAAGAGATCTAAATGATTACGTCAGTTACGATAAAAAAAATTATAAATTAATTCCAAAATCTTCCTTAACATTGAACGTTCGAATTTTATATTTTTTCTTATTTTCGTGCTCATGACTATTAAAATAATAAGATATAACCCACCAATTAAAAAAATTAATAATAAAATTATTCTAGATCTTCTACTCCAAAAATATCACGCAAAAGCAATAATAAAATATCCGCAACACTCGTACTACGAGGAGGGTTTTTAAGACACGTATACAAAACACCGGCTACTCATAATCAGAGGAGTCAATATTCTCGTCCCACCAAACCGCAAAAAAAGATACTTTGGAAAACTCGTCAACACGCGAGTCGCCACGTATTCCTTCACAGAGATCAATAGTGGGCCCATTTTTGCCAAACCCGAGTGTATAATCGACGATCCATATGCCACGTATTAGCCTAATCAAAGTCTCAGCCGAACACGTGTTTAGGTGACAGAATCCCACTATTATGGTTCACGTCCCCGTGCTTTACCCGCCGTTTTATTGCACCAAGTGGCGGCAATCCAACGGTATCGAAAAAACATGTGTCCATCGACGGTTCAAATTTATTTAAGCTATTCATTATGTCCTTTTAGCGAGTTTATTAACCAAGTTCTGTGAACTGTGTGTCTCTCTCTCTCATCAGCTTTTTCACGTGAAACAATTGCTTTTTTACTTGAGACACAAATCGCCGTCGAAAGAGGTAGTCGCCGTCGAGTTGTGTTGTCAGATTCCGGTGGGATGACGCAACTCGGCGTGAAAAGAGGCAAGCATGTTCGTCGGAGGAGATTGGAACTCTGCAGAATGAAATCTTTGTGTCAGGCACAGAATGGCTTCGTCAGAAACGAAACTCTAACCGGAGAAGATCAGTTTTCCTGGAAAACTGGATCCGACATTAGAAGGACTGATATTGATGATACAGAGACCGAAAAGTCTAGGAAATGCCAAGAGTCATCCGTGGTATCATTATCGTTTCCAGCGAATTCATCGGGTCTGTCATCTGAAAATGACGTCATTCTAGCGGGAGCTTGTTGTCGTAGAGGCGAAATGCATAGAGGAGAAGAGAACTCACAGATTGTTACGTGCTGTTCATATGGATCGATATCGGTGATTGGACGAAGAAGAGAAATGGAGGATGCTGTGACAGTACAGCTAGGGTTCTTGACCAGAGATTCTAGAAAATATGATTTTTTTGGTGTGTATGATGGTCATGGGGGATCACGTGTTGCACATGCTTGCCGAGACCGGTTACACAGGTTAGTGTTAGAGGTGGAAGAAGAAGATCAGGAAGAGAAGAGAGAGGTGGATTGGGAGAAGGTGATGAAAGCGAGCTTTGGAAAGATAGATGAAGAAGTGAGTGGGTCAGAGTTATCATCGATAGGTTCGACGGCGGTGGTGGTCGTGGTGGGAGAGGAAGAGGTGGTGGTCGCTAATTGTGGGGACTCTAGAGCTGTGCTGTCAAGATGTGGTGTTGCTATACCCTTGTCTAATGATCACAAGGTAAAAATATACAATTGCTATATAGGTTGTACCTAATGACTTGGCCATGCATTTTTTTTTTTCTAATTAATTTTTGTTGATATAGTTTTTTCAATCGTGTTGTCTAATGTTGATTTGGAGCTATATTGTTTTAATTAGGGTTATACAAATAATATATCCACGTGTTCGAGTAGTTGAAATAAAAATTTTCTAGTAGACTTTATAGTATTTTTAATTACAGATGCAATAAGACTATTGAATCATATCACGACCTTTGAGGAATANTTTTATTCAAATTTAAATTTAAATTTAAATTTGAATCAGCGTTAGAGAAGCTCTAACGTGGTTGACAATTTGATGAAGATTGTAACAAACGTTATGGTCGGAGTCACATTACTACTAATTAATTTAATTGAGGGCACAATTTAAAATAATTGATCTTTAAGGGTATAAATTGAATTTTTTTTAATCTTTCGGAGTGAAATTGCTATTTACCTTAATTTTTTTGTACTATACTTTCATTTTTCGTTCAATAAAAATGTAATAAGTCTAAATTTTGTTTATTTTATTATTTTTTAATACTATAATTAACCATCAATGATTATAAAACATCCAAACTAAAAGTTACAACTATAGATGAATTTTGATACCATATGATACTACAGTGCGACGTTGCAACAGTATCATACCCTCTCTAATTCTAGAAATCAACTTTTAAATCCCAATATTATTCATGTTTTCAATTATGATAATTAATGGTTTGTTTTGCGCAATTGAGTAGAGGTAAATGGTTTGGGAATCTTGTTAAGGACGTCGATGGGGATTACTACGATATCTAGTCAGATCTTCTGGACTCTTTTGGGTAGAACAATCAATTCAAGAGTTAGATAAGAACAAAAATCAATAGATTGAAAATTTATACTGGTTCATCAGTTCAAAAGCTTGCTAGTTCACTCTAATAGAGTTTGTTGCTCTTGGGGTAGTTGTTTATTACTTGGGGAAGAAGGTTACAGAATTACACANCAGTTCGAAAGCTTGCTAGTTCACTCTAATAGAGTCTGTTGCTCTTGGGGTAGTTGTTTATTACTTGGGGAAGAAGGTTACAGAATTACACAATGTCAATGGCTTAGATGCTTCATTCCTTCCAATGTGAGGGAATTGATCTCTATTTATGATATACAGTTGCCTTGCGTGATTTCTGCGATCCTCTCGTAACCAACGCGAACCTTGCATAATCAGCATGATCGTGATTCCCTTGAGGTTATTACATCCCCATGTGTCGGACTATTTGGTCGTTAGGGGTTATATTCCCTAGGCATAACGTGACCTTCTGGAAGGTATAAACGGTCGTTGTTACCGTATGCACGTGGGGCACATCGGTGATGATTCCTAACCTATGTTTCTCGAGCTAATGATCATGAGCTGAGATGTCCGAGCTAAGATGTCGAGCTTAGTCTTGGATAATTTTTGGTATCATTAGTTGTCCCCCAGTCCCTAGCCAGACAACCCTTGCTTGACGTGGATTAGGAATGACTTGTGCTATTGTAGACAAGCTCATAATTGTTCTTACTTGGGAGGCATATGATGAGACGTTTTTTTAAGATTTTCGGCGTTCTACGCATGCAAGAAGTTATTCTTGCCTCAATTGTCACGCACATTCAGCGTTTTTGTGCCACGCGTCCAATTATATGCATGTCTTAAATGCCTCCGCAGACGAAACAACCAAAAGAACCCCTTTATTCTAGCCTTTTTCATTATTTTGAATTTCTTGGCACTTTAACCAAAAAACTCCCTTCTCTCTCTCTGTCTCTTGCAATTTTGTCTTTTTCCTCTCATTTCCTATTGTACAGGTTATCTTAGTGAGTGTTCAAATCGTTTGGAGGTCTTCTGAAGCTTTCTCTATTCTTTCTTGTGCCCCCTTGGGTTCTCAATTGTTGATTGTGTTCGATTTCTAGGTTTGTCTTTTGTCTTGCTCTTTTCTTTGCTTCTTTCTCCACTGGTTTCTTGTTCAACCTTGAATCCCACGAATCTGAGGCAGTTACTCCACTTTTGGACCTTTCGTTTCTGTTACTTTAGGAGTCGGGGTCGCTCCTTGTCCTTTCTTCTCATTTTCTTGGATCCCAACGCCACAGCAAGGGTCTTCCTCTTTAGTCGTTGGGGTCGTTCCTTGCCCGTTCACTGTTTCTTGAATGTTCCTTCTCTTTACGCTTCTTTTGGCCACTTTTTCCCTTGTGCCCTCACGTTTGTTTCTTTTGAGGCCACAGGTTCTTTTGTCTCCCTTGCCATGGCTGACAGATCTCCCAAGGTCCAAGTCTGATCCCGCCGTAATAGATGGATTGAAGACCCTGACGAAATTGGTGATTTGGGAGACATGGAAGATGAAATAGATAACTTTCCCAGGGTTTATGTCATTGATACTCAGGTTACTGGGAGGGTTTCTTCAAACAACAAGGGGCTGGGTCAACTATTCAATCAAATGATATTGAGCATGTTTCCCATCTCTTCTCGAGAAACAAGTGGGCTATTTCTTTGCAAAATTGTGCTCAATTTCATATGTGGCAATTCCGCCAAGATCTCTTCGTTAGTTGGGGGAAGAATCCGCCCCAATCAGATTTTTTGAGGAACGTATCGAGAGAGGGAGGGATTCGTCCAGACTATCGGTAATGTTTAGAAGACCACGACTGATCCTGAAAGGGAATGAATGGAAAAAAGAGCATGNCTATGTTTCTCGAGCTAATGATCATGAGCTGAGATGTCCGAGCTAAGATGTCGAGCTTAGTCTTGGATAATTTTTGGTATCATTAGTTGTCCCCCAGTCCCTAGCCAGACAACCCTTGCTTGACGTGGATTAGGAATGACTTGTGCTATTGTAGACAAGCTCATAATTGTTCTTACTTGGGAGGCATATGATGAGACGTTTTTTTAAGATTTTCGGCGTTCTACGCATGCAAGAAGTTATTCTTGCCTCAATTGTCACGCACATTCAGCGTTTTTGTGCCACGCGTCCAATTATATGCATGTCTTAAATGCCTCCGCAGACGAAACAACCAAAAGACCCCTTTATTCTAGCCTTTTTCATTATTTTGAATTTCTTGGCACTTTAACCAAAAAACTCCCTTCTCTCTCTCTGTCTCTTGCAATTTTGTCTTTTTCCTCTCATTTCCTATTGTACAGGTTATCTTAGTGAGTGTTCAAATCGTTTGGAGGTCTTCTGAAGCTTTCTCTATTCTTTCTTGTGCCCCCTTGGGTTCTCAATTGTTGATTGTGTTCGATTTCTAGGTTTGTCTTTTGTCTTGCTCTTTTCTTTGCTTCTTTCTCCACTGGTTTCTTGTTCAACCTTGAATCCCACGAATCTGAGGCAGTTACTCCACTTTTGGACCTTTCGTTTCTGTTACTTTAGGAGTCGGGGTCGTTCCTTGTCCTTTCTTCTCATTTTCTTGGATCCCAACGCCACAGCAAGGGTCTTCCTCTTTAGTCGTTGGGGTCGTTCCTTGCCCGTTCACTGTTTCTTGAATGTTCCTTCTCTTTACGCTTCTTTTGGCCACTTTTTCCCTTGTGCCCTCACGTTTGTTTCTTTTGAGGCCACATGTTCTTTTGTCTCCCTTGCCATAGCTGACAGATCTCCCAAGGTCCAAGTCTGATCCCGCCGTAATAGATGGATTGAAGACCCTGACGAAATTGGTGATTTGGGAGACATGGAAGATGAAATAGATAACTTTCCCAGGGTTTATGTCATTGATACTCAGGTTGCTGGGGTTGAGGCTCCCTTGCTTCTTCTAGGCCTAGTTGCAAAGCCTAAGAAGTCTTGAAAGAGACGATCTAGGAAGAACGTCGTTGGGACCTCGGGCTTAGTCGAGGATGCTGAGGACAATCCGAGTGCCTTAGGCATCTCAGGACCCATTAAAGTCACCCCTCTTCTACTTGGTGCACTTTCTGCTGAGTTTAGCTTCCTTGGGGACATGTGTGTCTGGTGTTCCAATATGGACAATCGATATGATACCTTGTTCTCTTAGAAGACTTGTTTTTTCTTCGTTGCCTTTGATAATGGTCTCAGGTTTCTTATGCACCCTTTCTTGAAGTCCGTTCTCCAACATTTCAATGTTTGCTCAACCCAGCTTTCTCCTAACTTCTGGGGTATCTTAGTAGGCCTTATAGTCTTTTTCAAGAAAAATAGTTTGGCTGGTTTCCTGCTAGTTTTGTAACCGTAACAGATTTTTCTATTTTTTTTTATGTTGCGTGTAGAGACCATCAATTATTGAATTGATTAATAAAATTTTAACAGGAATCAGAACAATCTTTTCCCGCAGATGGCCCCAGTTGATTGTGTGTTCTGCGCGACTGAGTAGAGGTAAGTGGTTTAGAGATCTTATTAAGGACGTTGATGAAGGTTACTGGGATATCCAGTCAAAGCTCCTAGGTTCTTTGGGGGTAGAACAATCAATTCAAGAGTTAGATAAGAACAAAGATCAACAGAACGAGAATTTATAGTGGTTCACCAGTTTGAAAGTTTGGCTAATCCACTTTAATGAAGTCTCTTATTCTTGTGGGAGTTTTTTATTACATAGGGAAGAAGGTTACAAAATTATACAGTGTCAATAGCACATATGCTTCATTCTTTCCAATGTGAGATATTTAATCCCTATTTATAATATATAGTTGTCTTGTGTGATTTCTGCAATATTCCTATAATTAATGTGATCGTTGCATAATTAGCGTGATTCCCTTGAGGTTGTTACGTCTCATGTGTCAGACTATTTAGTTGTTAGAGATTATATTTTTTAGTTGTGATGTGACATTTGAAAAGTGTAAACTGTTGTTGTCATTGTGTACATATGGGTCACATCAATAATGATTCCGCGCTAATGATTACGAATTGAGAAATCCAAACTAAAATGTCCTAACTAAGAGGTTGAACTTAATCTTATCTAATTTTTGATATCATTAATAATAGGAGTTGATTGTCAAATAGCGATCATATCATTTTTCTTTTCTTATTTCCCCAAGTCAAAGAACTCCTCTACTCTAAAATTTCCATACCCAAAACCCTAGAACCCCAA